CTCTAGTACACATTCGGTGATTGCACTACAACAGGATTACCTTGACCGGTAATTCTGCACAGCAGTCACAAGGGGTCATGCAGACGTGAAAATTCTCAACCCTGACCAGTAATCTCACGAACAAAAACGTGATCGTTGAACATACATACAAGGGGCCAAATAAAGACATTTTGTCTCTTCATTCAAATGGATCTAATCACACTTTACAGAAGCCGTATGCTTTCAAATAACAGTTGTAGAGCACATTCTATCTCATGAAGAACCCCTCACGCTGGCCTTATAGGTGGATGGTATTAGAGAAAATTTGTACGGAACTGATAGAACTCAATTGGATCTTCGACGAATTGCTTAGAAATACGGCGTTTCCCGGAAAGCGGGTTTTGAGGGGGATTATATATTCAGACTAATACCTCATGGAAACTATCCAACAGTGAATCGATTTAAGAAATTATGTAAGAGATCCTGGCCGGAGGCAGTTGCGGTGGGTCTTCTTGAGCACAAATATTGTCATATTCTGAAGACGGCGAGGACAGTGTGGTAGAGCTTGAGTCTATTGATGGAGGAATATTCGAAAACTTCACTAGAGAACTTCCGTTAGTTTTTTAATGAAGTCATTAAAGTTCTCTGCAACGAAAAAACGCTGAAATGTGTCATGGGCAAAATGTCTTGTTTTACCCCTCTCCAACCCTCACACTGAACCCCTTTTAGAACGCTGCTTCAATTTACGCTACCAGCGTATGTTGCTAGCGACAACCTGTTCATTGGAATGTACAGTAAATAAAGGGGCATTTAGCGTGATACATTTTATAGTTCACATGAATTGCTGATGACTAATGTACTGTTGTTCAGACCAGCTTTGACGAGATCTTGTAATCCCATCCATCGCATGGACACTGTGTTAATTTCACATCCAAGTACAGTTCCTCACACTTGTTCGTGCTTCTTGCGTGTTTTTGATTAATGTTGTTCTCACATGTTTGTCATTGTGTGGCAATTCATGAACGTCTCTAAAACTGCGCACGTTTTTGTCATGGTCGTCGCACGCACGCTACTTCATGGGAGCAAAATTCTGTTCCCAATCTTTTGTTTTCCTTCTGTCAGTACAGTGAGGACGAACGGAAGATAAAACAAATTTTCAAATCTCTGTTTTGCGGGTTCAGAAAAACTTGAGTTTGCAACGTTCCTATGGTTTGTAATCCGAAAAGGTTTTCTTCCTGCAGGATTCCGTTCACTCTTTCACTTGATGAAGCGATAGGTTTCCGAATGCGCACCAGCATTTTACTACAGTCTTTTACACAGGAATCTGACATTAGAACGCAAGCATGAAGCTATTATAATCATGGCGCCCTCAAATGACATGCTCCCAGCGATCAGATATTTGTCCTGAGCTCAACGTCACTTCGGGTCTTCTGTTATGTCGAAATTATTTCTTCGGCCCAGATAGAACTATTTGATCACATCGCGCACGATTCGAAATTCAATAGTGATAGCTCTTATGCAACTTTCTGTGCTGAGTATGCCTCACTGTACCTTTCAAGATGAATCAGTTCAGCGCTTGCTTAGCATTTGTCCTGAAATTACCAACAAGCCTTCTCCTTTTTAATGCTTCTTCTTCCTGGTCGAAGCTTTTAGACATGTCAGCAGAAGTTTTAAGAATGTGAGGTTTTCGTGACCCTCGGGTTGACCCCAAGTGATGTAATTAGCTCGTTTGCTTGAATCTTTTCCCCCTCCCTCCCCTACCAGCGATAAGAACGGCGAAAAGTATAATAGTGAAGTGAAAGAAGTTCAATATTCTGCCCGATAGATGTAGGGATGTGAAAGATGCAATAGAATGAAAAAGTACAATCAGAAGGTGTTGCAGATGATATCATATTAACCACTAGCAAAGAAAGGAATTCAGTTCAAACGACGAGCACAGTACAAAGTATGTGGTCGCAGCCGGCTCGCATGTTATGGGATGGGTTAACGATTGCCCTTCGGGTGTGTATTGATGTTAGATTCCTGTTTCCTTTCACAACCAACCTCGATACTGTACGCATTTTACATTTTCGTTACCTTCTACATATCCATCAAACGGAATCTAGGAACGCTAGTGAATTGCTTTCTTGTAATATAGACTGCACCTACGTCACCTGGAAACGTGTACGAGAATTGTGAAGAGCGATGCGCGGAGAACGTGCTTGCTTACTCATTTCCTATCCGAATTTGAAATGCGAAAGCCGGAATTCTGTAGAAAACCGATGATACTCTACGACCTGCATTAGTTTACTTGCGATGCTCGTGAGCGTAGCAGAAGCTTGTTTATGAGAGCCAACACAATTGAAAAGATCACAGATATTTACGGTGTATATATGTCACGATATGCCCTTATTTGAATATCACTACTGATGTTGCTTTGATGCGTTTCGCTTCATCATTCCTTCTATCAGCCTCATGCGGTACTTTCTTTGGATTTTGCACTGCATCTCTCTCAATGATGGTAAGCACTTATTGCCTATTGAGCCAGTAACTTCTTCTTTCTCATGAACAGCTGTATGTACAGACTCCACACGAAATCGCTTCAATGTAGTGTACTCTATCATGTTTGTTCGCTTTTGTTTCATGAATAATTGGATAAATGAGCAAATTTGTATAAATGTTTTTGGAAATGTGTGTTTACCAGCAAAATTTATTAATTGTGTTACAGATTGACCGCGCCAAACTGCTTTTTTATCCCCTGACCATTCTGGAAGAGATTTTCCTTCCTACTAACCTACATTGAGCGCTTGCAATCACTTCGTATCCATCACATCTCGATTTTGTCCTACGGGACGTTAGCTTCACCTCCTCCTTCGTGCGTTTCGTCGCGTTCTTCTATCATCATTAGCTTGTCACGATCCCTCCAGACAGCGTTACAGGTAAGACCACATTTCGGAAAAATGAACTGAAAAATGCGTCAGAAAAATCGGAAAATGAATGTCGACATGAATCCCTCACTGACAAGACCATTTGCTTCATGACTTCATCAATGATAGCAGAGTTCCGCGACAACCCATTTGAGCAGTATTTTGAATGTCTAAGGAGTTCCCGAGCGGATACTGATATACTGACCTCCGCTAAATGTCATTGTCAGATTAACGCACATCACAATTCTTTGCTACACGATATGTCAAGAGAACCAAAGGCAGGCCCCGGGATTAGGCGCGCTCGCCTGTTCCATCCCGGGGGTAGTAGACAGGCGGACAAGCGTTGATGTCGCGCCCCTTTTGCCGCTTGAAAGTGCGCGACAAAGGCGCAAGGAGCTCGTCCGACCCGCAACTCACACCTTCGTCCGCAAGCCCCCACCCTCCGCTGTCGGTTGCCACGTGGCGCTGCTTGAAAAGCGCGGGCGCATTTGAGGCAGCGGTCCCATTGCGATTTAGTGTCACTGTCACTGGAGCCATTGGAGTTAAGCTCATGAAACTCATCACCTCAACGAAGGTATGCACTCACCATCGTTTTTTTCAATTCTTAAAAGCAAACCTCGGGATTAGCCCAACTACACCACATTCTACCCTACTGAAGGTTAAGGGCAAAATTGCAGCGTTCCCAAAGATTTCTCTTGCTTTCCTTCCACTTTCAGGTCGTTCCGCAGCTAAGCTATCACCACAAAGCGCTGATAGCACCTGTTTAATCCCGGAGTTTGCCTTTAAGGTAAAGATGAGAGAGCTGATGTTACGTAATCGACTCACGCTCTTGTTGTCTTTGTTCTACGGATAAGAAGGCAAGGAGCGCTCTTCCCGAACCAAATTTCTCATAATAGCTGTTTTTGTTTCAATGTCACAGTTCGTAGTCACTGGATCTAGTCCAACTACTATTTGTGCAACAGTGGTGTTGCGGAACCGCTGAAGAAGGGTATTCTTCCTCAAGGCCGCCCTCCAGGTCAATTCCCGGGCCGAAGATCGGAGCTCTGGATGTCTCTCTCTCAACCAGACGGAGCCTGTCCCGAGCGGCTATAGCGGGCTCCGTTTCGTTTTCCCCCACGACACCGACTCCCTGAGGTCTCTATGCAACGACAATATAACCAAACACAAACAATGGATACAACGGGAGATATAGCCCCCCTTCTCCCCGCGCTATCTGGACACTAGATCCTTATATGACAAGCACAACAAATGTACGTAAATAATTTATTATTTCCCTCGCCTCGCCACGAAATATTCCTGATGCCCCAGTCTCACGTCTGGCGGCATCGTAGCAGAGCACGTTCCCCGAGGGTCCTTGAGGTATCCCTACAGTGCGCTCTCCTCCCTCCGTCAGATGTTGTTGAGGTCCCTACAGCCGATCACTCTTTTAGACCCAAGCGAGGCTAACCCCGATAGGGACGCAGGTGTGGACGTGCCGGCGCTTCGCTAAGGCGGATCCCGCACTTTGATCACAGCCTCAGCCTGCTATTTTAGAGACGCGCTCGCTTGGCGTAACTGGCTGTAGAGCGAGACAGATAACAGGTGTGCAGCGCGAGTTTTGACTCTCATTAGTGAACATTATGATGAGCCTGTGGAGCAGTATTGAAAACCGGTGCATCTTCCAGTCCTATTGTGGCAAAACATCTCTCAAACACCCCTACTATATATAAAACGCAAGGACTGCATGTGTCTGCCTCTCACAGAATCAGATGTTGCCTGTACAATCACTCAGAGAGGCAGGGTCAAGGGTGGGGCGAGGTGAAAAATGTTAAGAAGTATAAAACACATGTCAGCTGGTCGCAGTTCAGCCTATAATGAGCGGAGCACGAATCGAATTGGGCAATGCCGACGGCAAGTGTTTCGAGCTTTAAAACAGCCAGTAGTCTGAAAAAAAGCGAGGTGTGCACGAGTGAGTAGGAAGAGTTGGGAAGACTCGCGCTCGGTGGAGCGTTCTTCAACTGGGCGGTACTTGAGTGAGAGATTGCGATGTAGTGTGTGTGTGCAATGAAGGAAGTACACGCACCAGAGGAACAGTAGTCAGGGGCCTAAGGAAGCGAGATGTGGCCTTTTCGTGGCCAAAGGGGCGCTAGTTCAGCGCCCTGGGGCTGCCAATCCTCCCTGAGCTCCGCCTCCGCCGCCTGTGCTCCGCCCATTAGTGTGTTAGCAACATCATTGCTCCTACCATTTGATAAGTTATTCCTCTTTGAGTGCGTATCCTAAAACTTCCGCATGGGAGGCATCATTCAAGAGCATGATCTTTGCTGTAATGATAGCGGCTATCGCTTAACTTGTGCAACGACCTCTTAATTGGTTGCAGCTCGTCCATTATCGGAGGTCAACGGGCAAGGAAGTGGTCCCATTTTGCGCGTTCTTGACGGATTTCTTTGCTTTTTTCGCACTGGGGCATTATTCAGCATCCCACTTCCAATGAGCCGATTCCATTCTCATCGTAATCTCTTGCTTTAAAAACCCATGACTCGGTCAAGAAGAAAGGTGAGAAAAGTAAGCAGAAAAAATCGATGTGGAAGGGCAGTATTTAAGACTTTTCTAGAATACCTGAAGCCACTTTCAAGCGAGGTGTCGAAGAAAATTTCCAACCCCCCCCCCTCTCCAGCGACTGAAGTCTATGAAACGACTTTCTGAACAAGCCAATGTTTAAAATGTTCTTTATCCCCTCGGGAACCTTTCTTCAAACACCCCCTTCCTCATGAGCTCACACTCCACCATTAGTCACTCAACAACTAGAGAAAGTCAAAGAAAGATCATTAACAATGAACTTTACAAAGAAATGGAGTAAGAAGTATAAAAAGATGAGCCTACCTAGGTGAACTAAAGAACTAGATGAAAATTTTTTTTAATGAGTGCGAATTTTCACAAGTTTCACAGCTATGACTTCCATAAAGGTTTCGGAACCTCTTTCTCGAAAAATTCCTGCAAGCCAGTGCGAGTCAACAAAAGTAATAAGAGCGAATTGTATAACAAAGTCCGACCTCAACAATTATATGTTTATTTGACGTTTGAAACGGCTTTTTTCAATTAAGTAGTGGACTAATCAATATCTTTCCACACTGCTTCTTTTGGGATCCTCCTCATTTTCCCTTAGTAAAGATTTCCGCTTCAGAGAACCATAGTTGGAGCGCCCGCGCTAATTGGACCCACCCAGGGGCGCGCCGTGTGCTCCACATCCTTCAGATTCATGGACTCTGAAGCGTATCAAAATATCCGTCGCGAAACAGCGCCTCCAACTCCTCAGGAACTGATTACCGCACTTTTGTTCGGTGTTTACCCTAGCACTTATGACCCTTTCCTCCCAGCAGGCCAAATCCGACTCCATCCCTGGTAACCTGTCGAGGACTCACTAACGCAAGATTGCCCTGCCTGAAACCCGCCCACGGTAGTCAGAGCATGTCTTGAAGTGGGCGTGTCTGCTACAGATTTTCGTAGTTCTGTTGTTGCTGTTGCTTCTCATAATCGGCCACTTAGTTAGACTCAACTCACTCAGCCACTGAGGCTATCTCTCGCTCTCCTCTATCGAGCTTCGGCCCTCCTTCTCACGGTCCACTGCGGCTCCTAAGCGCACTTGCCACTCTTTTATAGGTATTTTATAGGTTCATTCCCGCCCGAACCGTTTCCCTCTGACAAGGTGGTCTCCTATAACCCCGCGCGATCGACAACCACTGCCTCCTCCTCGAGCTACCGTGCTCAAACCAGCTGATTATAACAGGCATCTCAAGGCAGGCATCTCTTTCCCTAACCCATGAGAATTTGGAATGTAGGTTCAACGGAAAAGCGCTCGCATAGGAGTTCAAACCAAGGTCAAGATTGCATCGAGTATGAGTAAGTCCTCGATGAGTGGTGCCGTATGTGCCAGGATAAACAGTAAAGAGCGTATCGATAGGCCAAGAGTGGATGGGAACATTCTCCTTGGATATCACTGGAGGTTGAACGCACGGCGGGAGTGCGACAACGCGGTAAAAGTGCCTCTCCCGGCACTTGTGCAAAATTCTTTACCATGTTTT